CTCAGGATGTAGTTCTTCCAGCTTTGGCAGTTGAAGGCGCGTATCAAAGTAAATGTCCTTGCCAATGGAAAGAATGGGTATGCGGCGATACGCGACACCCAAGCGAGCGACATCTGGTCGCGGCATCATAGTAGGTTGAAGCTGAAGTTTGACATGTTAGCTTGAGATGCCTTGGTACAAGACTCTAATTTTGTACAATACTTACACATTGGCTGTGCGGGATTCCCCGTAGAGCCAGATACCAAACCGTCCTTCTTGCATAGGGGGAGTGTGGATAGTGGTAAAGAATAACGTCTTTGCCTGCCATTTTCACGCTTCGTAATAAATGCGCTTCGTAAGAAACGATAAAAAGATAAGTAGAACTTGACAATTCCAACTGATGTTACGGTGGACTACTTCATGTCATATATAAATCGACAAGAGCCTGCTGTAGCTTGCTTACATACCAACGTTGCGGTCTACCTGCACGCTCCGCCAACCTCGGCTTATTTAGGGGTGGGGTAGCCGGGGTAAACTACCGCGACGGCAAAGTGGTAGGTACAACTAGATGTTATACTTGCGGCTGCGATAACTATGGCTCTGCGGCTTGAATCCATTTATAGAGACAACGAGGTGACTATCGTCCAGTGCTATGCTATCATCTACCTAGGTATGTATGAAGCATCTTGCTTTCTGTGTTCTCGTATCTGCCCAGGAACATATCGTCACGCCCTCATTTGAATGCGTACCTAGTAAATCTTTCCCATACTAGGTCAACTATAATTCGAGTAAAAAGCAAAATCATATCAAAATCGAATCTCTCGGGGCTAATGTGCTAGGGCAACAAATTACCAACCGCCGGTATCGCCTCCGTCGCCTCCCGCATTGTCGGCGTAGTTATTGTCGTAGCTATTGCCAGCGTCGCCATCAGCTTGGGTCGGTTGTTCATCTCCATTGCCGGGGTCCTGGTCTGCAAAAGCCTCCGAGTCTTTGGGTGGCTGCTTGCAGCGGACTTTGGTATGTCCATACTCCTCACAGTTGGTACATTGGACTTTGGACCCTGAAATTTGAGTGTTAGCAAGAGAACAGAGTACAGAGTGTTGGTCATAAGGCTTACAGTCCCGAGGCTTGGGGCACTCTTTGCTGTAGTGTCCAGTTTCCTCGCAGTTGCGGCAGGTAACAAGGTCCATGTTTCTGGGCTGGTCACAATCTTTGGAAATATGGCCTTCCTGGCCACAATTGCGGCAAGCTCTGCTACCTCCATCTGGGCAGTCTTTGGCGAAGTGGCCGGCTGAGTACTGTTAGCTGCTGTATCTGTCCGGAAGAAAGTATAAACGTACTCTTGTTGCATTTGCGACACTCAACATTGTCCATGTTGGGAGGCTCTGGGCACTCTGCAATCTTATGTCCCGATTGACTGCTCGCTATTAGTGTTTGATCAACGCATTGAAAGATAAAGAAAGACTGACCCGCAATTCTTGCAGGCAAACTTGTCAACGCGTGGCTCGGGGCCTATGAAACTGGTTAGAAAATTCAATGATGAAGAAACAGCACTGTAACTTACAGTCTCTGACTCGATGACCTTCGTTACCGCAATTGTAGCACGAGATCTTCGGCTTCTCCGAAGCATGCTCAACTCGCTCTTGGGTGCAGGCCTTGGACGTATGGCCGAGCTCGCCACAGTTGTAGCATTTAGGAAGGCCTCTGTCGACAACAATTCCTGCATCGTCCAAGCGAGATAGGATCTCACCATGGCCTTGGGGCCAGCCATCGATTTCACGAGGCCGCTCAGGCTTATCGGAGAACCTGAACGAAACGCTATACTTCTTGTCAATATTACCCTGGAGGTCCATATTGGTGAAAGTATCAATCAGCTCTCTTTCCAAGGCAATCAGCCAGAGCTTGACGCTCTCTTCCATCAATTTCTCTTGGATTTGGCGGTAAGTGACTTCTGCTCCTAGAGCCTTGACGTATTCCTCAACCGCTTCTTTGACATCGTCGTAGTCTCTTTCACGAGCTGCTTGCTTGATCTTGGCCCAGGCATCTTCCGGAGTAGTATCGGCAACATGGTCACGATTGACCTTGCGGGCATTCTCGCAATTCTTTCTGAAATGACCTAAGATAGTTAGTCAAATATTCATCAATTTCCTAGGACTTGAGCCATCCAGCTGTACCTTCTTCACCGCAGTCGGTGCAAATCATAGGAGGCTTATCGGGACAGTCCTTGACCATATGGCCCTCCTTCTTGCAGTAGCGGCAAGTCTGCGCTTCAGCATTCGGGCATTCTGCTCGCCTATGGCTGTGATAAAGTAGTCAGCAACGGATTGCTGCAAAATAAGCAACAGGCTACCTACCCTTCCTCGCCGCAGCCGAAACATTTGTCGTTTCCGTATTCCCCAGCGTCATTGGCACCGCCTTTGTAACCACCATCATCATAGTTGTCATTGAAGTTGTCATTGACACCTCCAGTATTGCCAGCGGGCTCGTTTGAGCCCCAGTTGTCTGCTCCCGCGTTTCCCTTTTCAGAGACGTGAGCATTGGACTGGGCCCAACCGCCCGTCTCTGCTCCACCGCCCCAGTCTGCCATCTTCAATCTGTACGGGATAGAGGTGATAAGTTGGGGAGTGAAATTCCTTTGAGATGTTAGAGAGATATTAGGATATGGAGAAGAAGAACACGAGAGACTGAAGGTAATGTTATGCTCTTTGGATGGAGAGCTGTGAGCAAGTGGTTGGATAGTTGCGTCAAAGTGAACAAAAATTGAGGACCAAGGTGACCATGGCAGGAGTAGTGAGGACAGAGAGAGACAAGTAGATCAAGGGAAGTTGAAGATGGAGAGCTGCCAATCAACCGAAACTGGAGATGCTTACCTTGGATGGAATTTCAGGAAACAGGCGCTTGATGAGCGAAGTAACCGAAGAACTGAATATATGTCATCGAAGAGTTAGTTTGCAGCCTTGAACAGATTTTGAGACTGCGTGAGCATTTGTTACTCACAGCTTTGATGCGTATCCTGCCCTAGAAGATGGAGATGATCAGGATGAGGGAGAAGTGAAAAGAAAAAGAAAAAAAAGAGAAGAGGAAACGGAAGAGGAAAGGGAGCGAAGAAAAGAGAAGGAGCGTGCAGCAGTTGGCAGGGCAGCCAGGAAACACCTGGCAAAGGCGGTGCCTGGAGCGGCAGAATGGGAGCAAGTTATTCCATCCGCATCTCGCCTTAGATGGGATGAACACTGTCAGATGCCAGGGTGAATAGATATACCTGTAGGCTATAATAAGGGGATAAAATTAGTATCTCGTGAAAAGCAGAGTGCTTGATATGGGGATAGGAAGACTCCTGAATGGAAGACTCCTTGAATTTGTAGACTACAATGGGATACAGTACATGTAGAACGATGAGCTTGCCTTTTAGCCTATCGCTTTTATACCTGGATGAGGCTGCCTTGGCATCATAACCTGAGCAAATTAACTTGAGCTAATTCGAGAAATGACAAGTATCTCGACTGTGATATGCAATGTTATTCTTGGCATAGGTCTGCGGTACATGCACCGTGAGAAACTATTTCTTTCCAGAGTTCACCAAATTTGACTAACAGACGCCATAGAATAATTTCTCTTTTAATAGTAGGCGCGACAGATTTACGATGAGAACATTTTGCTCCGTACATTGGCCTGCAGCTGTGGTTTCTTCCCCTCTCTCTGTGACTCTCAGCGATTTTTTCTGCTTGGCATTAATCTGTCTTGGATAATAGGCTCTGAAAATGGAACGCATAGCAGGTGAATTGCACAAAAGGAGACAATTCTATTGAGAGGCCCATCTCGCTCGCAATGTACATGGGGGGTGAAGCATGCAGCGGTGATTCACACAAACAAGAAGACAAGGTGGCATTAGTGCGTGCCGCTTAAAGGCCAAAGAGACTTCATAACTGATGGACAACCGCTTTGCAGCGTGGTTTATTACAACGCAAGAGAAAATATCAGCACCAGAGATACAAAGCAGTGGCAAAGCAAACCGTACGTCCTGATAGTTCGCATAGTAGGGAGATCATGCAAGCCATGCCAGTGGCCTCATATAATGTCCCGCTCGAGGATAATCTAGGTTACGAAAATAGACAACAATGGGCAAACGCTAGGCTAGTCTTTCGCAATATTATTTCCCAACAGGATTGAGTTGTATACAGCACATACAATGGCCATCGTAATATTGGCTCTGCTCACGAGCCGTCATCGGACTCGGGATCTCGACGTAACACGTGGGCTGATGCTCAAGTCCACTACATTTCCGCGGAAAAGGCAATTCGTCTCACACAGGCCTGCTACTATCACAAAAAAAGCCAGACAAGCTGGAGACGCCAGGAAAGTGATTTATTCCAGCAGTATTTCAAGCTGCGGAAACACATCCATCAGCACAGTCACGAGAAAAGCCAAGGACTGCCAGTATGCTATGCAGGACAGTAAAGCACTTGCTTCACAGCCTGCAAATCGTTCGAGTTAGTACCAGGTGGATACAGACAGGGACACCAGCCCAGCTAGCATCGAAGAAGCGACCCATCTGCCAACGGCTAGGATGACCTTTCAGTTGGTAATGCGCAATACAGTCCGCTTCTCAGGCAGAGGGGAGGGGCTTGTCAAACCCCACGTCTGATATCACCCAATGAGAGGCGCGGAGTATTCGCAAAGTGCATCTCCGCACTCGGAGGGGCCTTTTCTTATCGAGCACTACTAACCTAATTCTGATCCCAAATTCACTGTGCTGTACTGTATAGACAGGTTTGTTATCGCGGCAAGAGTACAGTGTTGAAAAGATACAAAATTTCCATTCTACGTCGGTTTCTGTTTTTTTAGGCTTTTACTAAGCGCCGCATGGTCTTTAATACAACATCAAGGTCCTAAGCAGGAAGAGGGTCTTCCCTTCTTACAAATCTAGCCCTCTTGCCCTCTCATTTTTCCAACTTTCCAATTCTTCCCCCCCTCCCAACACCGCAGCCGATTGTCGTTTCTTCCACAGCAGTTTTTCTTTCGCAATGGCGCCCTCGGTCGTTATGATAGATACCTCGGACGACTTCTCCTTCGCTGCCCCAGTGGCGGCGACTGAGAAGAAGCAGCAGCAGCGCACGCTGCTCCTAGCACCGCCGTCTCTCGCCTCTCATCCCACCGCGCTTACCAACGTGCTCTCGCAACATGATCGCTCCACGACCGACCTCCAGATGATTGACCGGTTGTCCGCCGGGCTCGTCAATCTCCCCTCCGCGACATACGATCTCGTCCTAGTCCTCGCCGATGCGTCTTCGTCTCTAAACGAAGTCTTGCCGCTCTTGACCCGAAGCATCCTCGGCCCTATCACAGAGTCGCTCAAACCAAAGGGACGGCTGCAGTCGCAGAATGGCGCAGAGTTGGGACAGAATGCTGCGCTGGCAAAGGAGGCCGTTTTGGCAGGATTGGTTGCCACCAACGGAGGTTTCGACAAGCCCGACTATGGCGACAACGAAGGCGTAGTCTCTCTCAAGCTGGGCAGCAAGAAGAAGAAGTTGGCTGTTGCTGTTGCTCCTCCTGCTCCCGTACAAACACTCGAAGTCAAGCCTGTCGTCCCTGCTGGCGTTGGCTTTGTCGACTTTTCTGACGATCTCGATGCCGATTACGACGACGATGACCTCATCGACGAGGACACTCTCATGACGGAAGACGATCTCAAGCGACCCATCAACATCCGTATGCTTTTA